CGAAAAGTATATATTTTGTAACGAGAATCCTTAACGTAAAACGTAAATTCGTGGGTAGATCCCGGGAGACCCAGTACATCGACGCCAAAACATGACATTCACTTGAAGGAGGTTCTCGTGGGTGTCTGGTGGGGGTACATGAAGGGTCTACTGTATTACAAACTCTCAGAAGGTGTAAGATTTTTCAAAAATATTGTTGTTGTTAACTATGGAACAGGTATTCGCCTCCTAAGTAGCAAAAACTCATCAAATTACAAATTGAAAAAAGAAACAAAGAAGTGTACGTCGCTGAAGGGCAGGGGGCAGCGAATGAGTCACGCAGTTCGTGCATTTTTGCCAATTTTAACCCAGTCATCACATGAAACTCAATCCGCGTTTACTGTGTGGATGACGAACCGATTTCGACAACTTCCTATCGTGTAAAAACTTGGTGTTAATTCAAGTGCGTGGCTATCACGTGACGCTGGTTTCAACGTTACCAAATTAAGTAACTCAGTTAAGAATTAGTTTGATGTGTAAATGAGGTAGATCCAGAGTTTAAATCAACTAAAGTCTGCGAAGATGGTGGAAAGTGAAACCTCACAATAAGAGAGAAAGTAGTCTTTTCATTCCCGGATGATTTATCGTGTGATTAAGAGTTGTGAGAACAGTCATTGGTGTTAGCATCACAACCAATTCGATAAAAAAAGATAGCCCTTCACGCGTGACAAGTGGTTCTCAAGAGTTTGCGGCTGTGAATCATAAAAAAGGTACCAGAAGTAGCCGGAAAGCTCTAAGCCCTTTGGTCTAGCGAGTGCTGATTAAAGAAACAATGAACCATGCTGAAAAATTGCCTAGAAAATTCTAGAAGACAATGCGAGCCACTCGTGTACTTCTTCGTACACGTCAGTGACGATTAACGCTAAACTTTAGTAATGAATAATGTTACAACACCACAACTTTACCATTTACTACATAGGTTTACATTCTTCAGTGCATAGAACGCAACTGGTTCAGGATAGCAAATAGGGGAAAAGCATTACCAACCATAAAACGCGACTAAACCCCCCGGAGGCATAACCAATAGACCTCGGTGACATATTTTGTAGGCGGAATGCTGAATAAACCGATTCAGAATTCAGACCCTTGGTGTAATTTTGTGCTAAACCCCCACCTGGCGCGGATTTACAAAAGACAGTTCCTAAAAATGCCCAAGTAAAATCTTTCGGTGGCTTTGATTGGCTGTAAATTTAATGGATGCTGCTTTGAAATGCGACTGGAGAGGGTGAAATTTCTCCTGGCTTTGTGGATTTTTTGGACGAACCTTGCAGTCGACGGTTGAAATGAAAAATGTGAACAGCGTATTTGCAATGCAATTCGCCTCTGCTGATCTCTGTAATAAGTGACACTGAATAGTAAAGAGGTTGTAGTAGCACCACCTCACAACCCTCTAGTTAACAGCCCGTAACAACCCGAGGGTGGAGTGAAGAGAGGCGACAGAGGACACGACCGTCTATTAGCGTCACGCCAGCCAAGTGTGTGGATGAGTGAACGGATGACAGGCGTCCGATAACAGCAGCCAATGAAAAGAGGATGAGTCACTGTCACCGTCGGGTCAGTAAGCAGGGTTCACTCAGGCGCGATCGCTGCTAATCCGCAACAAGATCACGTCTCCATTTAACATTTCGAGAAATACTACCGATTCTGCCGGTGGCAGCCAAATCAAACGTCTTTCTGAATACCCAACCGTCACCATCACCGCTTCCTACGCTTACTCCCCACACTGACCTTCTGCTGAAGCCACCTCTGTGACCGCTCACTTAATCCACACGACCCATAAATAAGCATGGACAACCGTGGCCAATTCGTTCGTTACTTCCAGTTTATCAGGGCTCTTCAACACATTAGGTTCCACAAAAAGAATGCACGAACTTCCAAGCTTACAGACACGCTTCCAAACGACTCAACCTCTAATATGACAAATTCCATTTTTTAAACATAAACATGATATTGGTAAATTGACCTAATCTTGTTCTGAAGTTTAGAGAATAGTCCGAAAAGGACACCTCACAATCAGAGATTAACCTTTTACAGATCAGGAAAGCCGGATTTAGGTCTTGAAGGCGGTTTCTTGTCAAGGTTTAGAACTCAGATTGACTGGTCAACATCGCGAAGCTAGATGCACGCATTTGCCTCACTTTAGTGCTGTAAGACAACTCCACTTCCGGCAAGTAGTTTGATTGATACTTCCGGTGTCGAACTGGGAAAAACACCTCCACATGCCGCATTCCACCAATTCCTTGCACGCCATCATTTATCAAAGGTTTACTTTGCAAGAGCATAGTTGCCTTTCGTTGAATTATGCAATGAGAAATTTGCTAATTAGTATGGTTCGCGCGATAGTGTTTTAATGCAAAGATCGACCCATATGCACACACGTGTGTTAGTAGATGTCAAATATGGTGAATCGTGACTTTCTGAGTCATCAACTAAAACTGAGCTTTGTAAGGGTTAAATTCGCACAATTTAAAAGTCTCTCTTGTCTCTTACAATGACATTTCGTTGGTGTGAGCGCTACACCACTCTGTGATGGAGAGCATTTCAAAGACACTAGCTTTCTCCTCAATTTTTACAAGAAAAAGTATCCAAATTTCAAAAATACCTCTTTGGGAACTCGGCGGAAGATCACTTTCTGCGGCCGATTCCCTCCTCGACGTGTGGCTGCGGTCTCCCCAAGTGGGTCTGTTGCATTGTGGTCGATCGGCCATAATGCATCTTCGGCAGGATCTGGGAAGTCGGATGCAGCACGTCGAGATCGTTGAAGCCTGGGATCTGGAAGTCAAGTAACGCTTCAGTTAATGCACCAAACTTGTCGAGCGGTCACTGACAGCCAGTCGTTTGCTTAATAATTTGCGGTTTTAAACTCATACAAAGCACCGCCACATGTGCTTCCGCGCATCTTTTTTCTCGCCATCAACTTTTTGGAGTTGTTGGTTGTGCATTTTTGCCAGCGAACTTGGTTTGCTTTTCCAAACATAGCCTTCGATGTTAGCATTACTAAAAGGTTGCACCAACTGGAACCTCATTATTGTCTCCTTACAGTCTAATTTGAAGCTAATGTCCTAAAACTCAATGCTTCCAAGTCACAATAAAACAGCGTTTCTAAAAACCTGAAAATAGCCATGGGACACACATTAAAACATGCGCCATTTTGAGTAGCAAGATATAAAATCATCAGATCAGAGCTACGGCGTGGTGCTCGCGTGATATGTGTGTGATTTGTGTGTGTTCACACGAAGTAGCGAGACTGCCCGAGTAAGAACGGTACTCCCGGATGAATGCAACTTAATTTTCCCAATCTCACAAGAGGGCAAAACGGAAAGATGGTGTATGACTCGAGAGAGTTCTCGTTAAAACCCAGGAAAAAGCGAAGCTTCCCTGAAGTTTCAACTAACTAGTGTTGTGGACAATGGTGGAAACATTTAAAGAGGTAAATCATAAGGAAACGGCACTCAGCCTTCTCACATAAAATGGGGAAGGATTTGTAATTAATCCATCAGGATGGACCTGTGAAACTGAGGTGGGGTGAAATAACAAAATTTGCTATCCAGAGAAAAAAATTCCACAATGAAACATGAACAAACTAGGTGTAACATTTACATGCTAGTCTTGACTTATCCTTTGTTTTAATTCGCTGGTTTCTCTGGCGCACTATTCAAATCCGCCAATAGCAGTATAGTCCCCCAATTGTAACACACTCTATACTATTTAATCATTGTTACTTACTCTACTTATTGTCGTAATGTTTATTGTTTAGAACGACCTGCAGAAAAGGTTAAGACTTCGCAATTATCATTACTGTTCTTCGATCCCAGCAAGTCTATCTGTTAGTGTTACAGCTGCTGTTATTTACACTCAGATTCCTGAACGTCTACAATTTCAACGGAATAAAAAAAAGCCATTATTTTGACTTCAATAGCCACAGTAACTAATACTGGTGTAGAGGTGGCAAAACTGTTGCTTCAGCTGCACACACAATGCTAGTTTTATGACTCTTTGTCTTAGGAAGTTGAATTTGTGCAACATTTGCTAGGCTTTCCGCGAGTCCGAATGTTCCCACGAGGGCAAATTTATCCGCAAATAGCAACACAAACTTTTAAATCCCACATAATTACACACACACACACACACGCACTCAGCATTGATACAATTGTTTTGCAATTGCTGTGGGGAACACCAACTACGCTGTTCGACGCACAGTCCGCACATAAACACCTCTCAGGGAAGAATCTAGGCACCTATTTAGAGCCTGGAATCGAATCTACCAGGAAACTACTTATTGCCAACAAACACTTCAACTAAGTAAACATTTCTATCCACAAGAAATGACGGCTTTTTTCGGTGTCGAAAACACAAAGAAAGACAAGATTGTTGACGTTACAAGCTAGGTGATGGTGTAGGAGAGAATGTGGAACAGTAGAAATGTGTGAAGGAACCATTTCGGTGGACAATTTTTCCTGTTTAGCCAATGAGAATAGAGATAGGTGACAGGCAACTCACGCCAATGTCCAAAACGTGTAAACACTAAAAGTACCCTGAAAAGAACCTTTAGCATGTAGATCTTTATGCGAGATACGATGTCCACATAACATATTTCGTGGTACTGGATGGGCACTTACTTTGGGCTAAAATACCGGTTCTACAGGGAATAGAAGTGCAGAAACATGTTCATCGTTGTAGGGAGTGATCAAAGGCACGAAACACACTGGAAAGTGATTGAAGCACACAGAACCCAAAACATTGGCCTTCCCCAACTAAATTTTGACCTGCTTTGACTTTAACCATCCTCCGCTTCTGTGGAGTTGGACGGTTATTCTGTCCTGCCGAATTGCGCCCTTCCGACCACGTGTTTATTTATGCACCAATTTGTTTACAGTTGACAGGTGCCCGCACACAACTGCCACACCACAAAATGTGGTACGCTTGCCAACCTACATATGCAATTACGGTTAACCAGGCGTCAACGCTACCTTACTTAACTGCCGAGTGCAAATCGGGCCTTAGAATAGAGTTTTTAAAGTGCACACAATGAAATGCCGGAGTGGTTTTGGAAGCGGCGGTAATTTTCCGTGTCACATGCGTTCGCAACACCAGCAAAGGATTTCAGAGGGAGGGTAACGGTCATCTACATTACTGAAATAGGCGGAAATCAAGGTCAGAGTCCCGATTGAACTCATGAAATCTTCGTTAGTGGCAGTGTATGTAATCTGAACATAATTACACACGGTATACTTTACACAATGAATAGAAATATCACGTTAAAAGTACGATTCATCTTTACATATTGGTTTAAGTCGATTGAATAAACGAATCTTGAGTCTGTTAGTTTCCCACACCTAACTTCAAATGAACGCAGTAAGCAGACTTTTTAGACAATGCGCACACATTAGTAGAAGATCAGCAGATGCGTTGCTATGTCAACATAGATAAGCCTTTATGCTTGGCATTGTCTTTTCTGAAACTAACTCAAGGTAAAAGACACGATGCCGCATCCGCGTTTTTACAACAGACAGTTTGGACAAGCTGAAAAGGAGCGTTCTCTGCCAATTGAGCCGAGAGATTGTGTGCTTTGTGCATGAATATCGCTGTAAATTCCCGAGTTTCCATCGTTTTTTGCGTTAAAGAGCGACCGTGATTAGAAGCAACGCCTTGAATCGCCTGTTACCAAATTCCGGACACGCAAGAGAGCCATTTTAAAGTGTACTGACACCTAGGCATTGTTTCAGTAAGGTAGAAGGTACCAGAACTAATTAGTGGACTTTCATCTGACGGCTCATCCAGGTTGCCGTGACCGAACACGAAACCAATTTTTTATCAGCTCGGTTACCGAAAACGGACGTCGTGTTTCTCATGAGAACAAACTCTCGCGACAAAAAACACGTTATTTTCCCATGAAACTGAGCATGACTGTATTGTAAGCACACTATGGCGGTTGACTGACACGAATTCGTTAAAATTCCATGTAGCGCCTAATCGGAAAAGCGCATACTGTGTAGAAACCGTCAACACTGAAATCTAAAGCCCTTCTAGAAACATAATTGAATGAATGTAATTTAGTTCGATCAGGCTTTGAATTAGAACGCGGAGGAGAGCAGACAAAGTACAGACGGGAAGTTCTGAAGCAGCCAATCAAATCTTCCGATTATTTTGTTTGAATCAATGGTCTAAGAACCGGCTCAATTTTTTTCTGACTTCGTTTAACTGCTTTTCGGGGTGCAAGGTTCATTTTTGTGTGTTAATGTCGGGCTCCGCCAAAACATCCGATTTAATTAATTGGCAAATGTAAACATGCGCATTTTTTATCCTGAGACGGCGATAACGTCCACAGAACTGCCATTTATCACGTGATCAGATTAGCATCGAGCTACAACGGACACAAGCTATTCCATTTCCTGTTTAACACTTTTAAGCGTTTAAAAACAGCTAAAAAGTCCGTGTGTTAAAATTTCAAGGCCCTAGTTGTTTTACCGTGGTAATCACTGTTGCTACAATTCAAAACCACCTCTAATAATCCGGTTTAATTTAGGAACTGTTATTTTTGCACAAGACGGTATAAGAGAGCCTTTCAAATCACATCATCGACGCCAAGAAACGGAGTTTATTTACGTAGAACAAGACCGAAATTGACGCACGGCCAGTCATTTGGAAGTTTATATGTTTCAGCTGTTTTTATCACAGCAGACGACACGACATCAAACCAGTCAAAAAAACAGACCGTGGAACAAACAATGCCGGTGTGTGTAGCATAAATTAAACACGATGCCGATTCTGCCTTTCGCGAAACGGACGTTGCAAAGTGGCTCGACCAGATGGATTCAACCAGCTGTTCTAGTGCTGGCACACTTACTTGCCAACAGATTGTGTTTCGTGGAAAAAGGAATGTGTGTGCCTGACAGGCTTCAGACAGACGTGATGAAAGCCTAACTTCCTTGATATCGTACACACACAGAAACGCTTGATTGTGTTAAATGACATGCCAAACTGGCGGTACAATAGTCGTCATGCTGAGAGGTGACGCATGTCGCACCTGGTTGCTATGGCAATGCCACAAACATGGTAATCCGAGAGTTATCTGTTGAGTATTCCTAGGCGTATCAACACAGACCGCCTTAAAAAACACAGTAAGCGATAGCAAGTATGTAACTACAACTATAACGAGGTGGATGGGCCAATGAACGCTCTGGGCTCGCTATTTCCTTAAACCAAAGGATGACCAAGACATCACCAGTTCAAACTCACAAAGGGCATGTAGGATGATCAACTTATACCAAGTTCTCGATCAAAGTCTACCAATTAGCAGTCGAACTGTTCACACAAGCTACCTCACGATAATTGTTAATTTGTATGCACTTTAATGCGACGATTGAGTTTCTATCGATTTTGGTCTTCGAAGTCTCTACTGGCTACTTAACGTCGCATCTCACAAGGTCAAATCAAGGCCAAGCGCTTACGCGTTGATTGGCTCATGAATAGTTCATTTATAAATGACGTTACTGGACGCATTCAAGTAACGGAGCTTAAATGAGCTCATTTGGCAGACCAATTTTCGGTGATAAAAGGATAAAAAATGATGATTGGAGCAAACAATGTTGCCCTTTTGCATTCTGCACCAACTGATCTAGTGGAATTTGACAGTTTGCGGTTATTTAAGAGGGCTTTTAAAGCCGCCAACAAAGCACAACCAGTTTCAGTGGCATTGATTATGAACTACACCGTTTAAAAAAAAGAAGTCAAACTGTATAGAACAGAAAACGTTAAAGCACGAAAGAGAAAACCCGAGTCGTGTGCAATGTCATTGTGCTAATTAATTTTTTTGCTGTGTCACATAGAATCTGGCCTTGGTTTGTCCTTGGCTGGACGACCTCATGTGCAAAATTATCATTTTTGACGAAGCGGCCAATCGAAAAGACAACACCAATTTGACTGTGACCGGAATTAGCGGAAATGAACTGGAACTAAGCAAGTTGATGATAGCACACATGTTCCCTGCGCTAATTTCAGTCAAAATGTGCTAATTTGGGGAATTATTCATCTACACATACGCATCTATGCCGATTCTAACGAAACGGCTACAACCAAGCCCTACGTTTCGCGTTCCAGATCTGAAACTTCGATGGTTACCTTCAGTAATTTCGATTATTTTACGTTATTTAAAAAAATTTCCGTAGAGTATAATATCTGCGATTTTGCGGATACTACAAAATTGCTACATGAGGTACCCTTTTGATTGGCGCAAGTCATTGCAATTTTCCGCCAATTTAGAAAAAAACAAACAACGGATGCGGCACCAGTATGATTCGGCACAATTTGAGTTATCGCGGTGCCTGAGGTCATGGGCAATTCCAACTTTATAAGCAGCCAAAACTCCTTCATATATGTCCCTCGTGAATAAGGCATCAATTATGCATTTTGCCTGGCAACGACTTTTTTAACCGCCGAAGGTCGCCCATAGAAATAATCGCTGCAGATATAAATGTCAGCACCAAGGGTTGTTCACAAACCAACCAAATGATGAAATAGACTACATTCAGTAAAAATAGCCACGTTTGAATCGTGGGTTTTGTTGATAAAACACGAGTCACGACTAAAATTTAGAGAGTTGTGACAGCTAACTTTCAACTTAAGGTTACCACTTAAGTTGCAAACGCAAATGATAGTTAATGATGTGAGGTAATAACGTGTAAAAGCGATATGCACACTTACTAGACATATCTATCCCTATCCACCGGTTGGGATTGATCAAAGACTCGTTAGCATACGAACATCCAGTCAAAACATCCTCAACCTTGGGTCCCCCGAGGAGTTTGACGGAAGGTCGCAGAGAAACCCACTCCATTTCAGCACCGTTGCGCATGGGTGAACGCACCTCATTAAAGAGGTACACCAGATGGTCTGCGGTCTTGGCCAGTTCGACAGGCACTTGCAGCCGGACGGTAACATTCACCAGACGCTTGGAGGGACCCATGTGCTCGATCTGGAAGGTGTGCTGAAGCCGAGGACCCATCTCCTCCACCCGCATTCGGTGATGAAAGTCGAGACTCCAGGGAGTCGGTCTAGTCCGATTATCGACCACGCTTGGAGGCGCCCGAGCACCGGTTGTAATCAGATATCGCGGCGCGTGGAGCATCAAGTAGCGCCAGACGACGGAGTTATCAAGTGGAATGGGATCGTAGGTCTGCGACAAGACGGAAATATTCACGTATGAGTCCGCAGAGTAGTCAACGCTTGCAGAGTCTTCACCCAAGACGTAGAACGATGTTAGTCTGATTCGCTGAATCGGCACCGAGGAATTGGTTAGAGGGGGGTCTAGACGACCGAGCTTGCAAGCCACCCACGTGTCATTGTTTAGGGGGTGGGAACAAACACTGCCGACGAAATCGACTGTCCCATTTCGAGCCTGTTCAAATGCCGAAAACCGTAGGTTGCCGTGAAAGACAAAATTTATCCACACACCACCTGCGAACGTGGGACCGTTATTGAACACATCCACGGTCAATTTGCTCATTGCCCCTTCCTTATCGCCATAAATTAGGACAGTTTGTCCTGTTGAGTTGGAATTTGAAGAGGTAACAACGCGTCCCGCCTTTTCGTCGGTTACTCGAAGCGACAAATCGCTTTCACACTTACCCCTTGGCAGGCACACGAATTTTGTCAAACGCAACTGGAAACTGCAATCCGACCAGTCAATAATGGGTCGATGGATCCATGAGTCATTTTGACAAGTCGTAGAACCGCCCGAGGGCGCTGAATCAGTGGAACATGGAACGCTGAACCTGTACTGAACGCGAACTGCTCCACTGGGTTGCTCCAGACTCGGCATGTCTTCTACGTCCATTTGCGGAAGCAAGTCGAATTTGAGCGTCAGCATATTATAGAAAGGGTTCAACGTCATACTGTGAAATGCACTCAGTCGCACTCGCTGTTCACTCGGATCCTTGGCCCAAAGATCTGGAATGACTTGGTGGAGTAGGTCCTCAGGTGTAACTCCAGCGGCCTCGAGTAATTCAGCAAGATTCCTCTGTCCATTCTTTCGGAGTGGAATAAGTCGTACTTTTAGCTTAATGGGAATGCGTACATTGCGACGAAGACGAACACTACCAAGCCAGTTCGGCTGGTGGAACCGGCAAACAGCTTGATAGCGAGGTCTGGATGCGTAGATCATTGGCACGCACGACGTACAAAGGGGGACAGGCAGTACGAAATCCGGCCATCCGTTGAAATCCATGTCTGTGCCCTCTCGTGGCAAAACGGAACCGAAGTAGGCACCAGATTCTGGCCCGTCAATAACCTGTATAGGCCTCCTATCGAATGTGCAGTTAGGAAGAACGCGAAGCAGATAAACACGTCCGCTTTTTGTCCTATCGCGCAACTGTGGAGCACCCACGGCAATGTCGTCGAAGCCATCGCCGTCTAGATCTCCGACAACCGAAAGAGCGTAGCCAAACGCTCCGGATCCTTGTGGGGCCGACACAAAATCGCGGTAACTGTCAGTCGGCATCCCAAGTTTCTCCCTTCCATTCAAGGCGAAGTTAGTTGGAACGCAGTACAAGTAGACTCTACCTCCTTTTGCAGCATACGGGGCACCGACAACGATCATGTCTTGACCATCCACATTTTTCAGATGAACCATAGAAGTTCCAAAGCCACAGAACGACCCCGCACTGTCCACAAGTCCCTGCCAATCGATGTCAATGGCACCGGCAGTACGTATCCCATCCAAACTCCCAATTTTAAATAATTGTGCCAGGTCTGATTTGTTACTTGCATCACTTAGCTGAGCAAAACCGTCACTGACTACTGAAACATAGTCCCCTGCGACCGAGTAGCCAAAGTAACTTTCAGGTAGACTGTCTTCGAGGATTTCCGGGCGATAGACAGTATAAACCCGGGGTGAGTAGAAGGGATCTGCCAGAATTTGCACCCGGCCGAAAGCAGGAGCTAAGGGCTGTCCGACAACAACGTGGATGCCTTTTAAGATGTCCACAAAACTCGAGTTTATTCGACCCTTAGACAGTAAGTCCACACTGAATCCCGTCATGCAGGGCTCCGTCACGTGACCGCCAGTTCGACAAAAAGACGACAGCTCTAGGCGCGCACGAAGATTCGCGTTGTGTAGAAGCTGGAGATAGCACCGGCCAGCAGGAAAGTAGCTCTGGTCTCTCCAAAGGGGATCACAGTAGACCAACAAGCCCATATTTGGGCTGATTTTAAGCGACGCCGAAGCAGCGCCAAGAAAAGCGGCGCTTTTCAGTCCCTCGGATAAGTCCTGACAAGGAGACGTAAATGTCAACTGGTCCGTTGAAGAAAGGGTAAAATTGCAGAGCTGAACAATGCCGTCTTCACGAGGGTATGGGGAGTCTTTGTGTCGGGCCCACGACCCACCCAACAAGACGTAGGAAAGATTGTACTGAGGTAGGGAGAGCAAAGTGACGCTGGTCCATGAAAAATTCTCATCAAATGTCCGCCTGGAAGAAGCCAGCGCCTCCAGATTGAATTGGGGAAGGGGGTAGTGTCGAGTTATCCTATGATCATATAGGTTCTTGAGACTCGTCTGAGGGTTCCAAAGCCTTGCGGTCAATGCGTCCCTCTCCTCTTCTAAGTCCACTCGCGACTTCGTTTCCAGGAGGTGTTTGGGGTCAGCGGTGGAGCGCTGAGCAAGGAGTGAGGTGATGATGTAAAGTAGAATGCTTTTTGAACACATCAAGCTAATGCAGCATGGGAAAATGTCAGACAAAATCCAATACACAATCCTCGCGGCAGTCCCTACGAGCCCATCGCAAAACTTACTCTAAACAGGCAACATTACTTGGCGTATAGGAGGGCTTTAGCATGACTTTAATGTGGTTGGCTCTCGTGCCTGATTGGTCCACAAGGGAGGATTTTTATTGGTGCATACGTTTGCAGATAAACACGAGTGTACGCCTGTAGCTATTTTCCACGTTTAACTGGGAGCAACTAGGTGGATGCGCAACCAGGGGAATTAAGGAATCAAGTCGGAGATTTATCAGTTAATAATTATTGCAAGATTATTTAAGCAGTATGTAAATGAAAATTAGGTGAACCGTGAATCGTTGATAATTCAAATCACGACCGAAGAACACTTGAGGCTCTAACTTACTTGTTTAAATTAACATTCTGCAAGCGGATTGCACCGATTGGTCAATCTCCTCATTACTAAATGCACTGAGAAACAACATTGGCTGTAGGGATGAAATTGTTTATCTGAAATCGATTAAAGTGCTTGAATAATGTGGTCTGTGGGATTGACCCCAATGATGACGCAAAAGGTCACAGACCACCATGAATACGTCGCAGTTGCAGGATAGTGACTCTAGGAAATATTACGTCGCAAGAAGTATCTTATTGAAAGTCTATTTCCATCATAGCCACTGCTGCGTTTCGGACACCAAAACGTTGGTGCCAACAAAAGCTCACACATCACAGCAAACAACAAGAAGAACAACCAAAGATTGTAAATTAAGAAAGCAAATTTTCTAATCTAGATCGGAAGTTTGCAAGAGACAGAATACTAAGGAGGCATTAGTAAAAGTGTGATTTCACGTATCTTATTCATAAAAAAGACTGTTGGCGTCTCGTAGGTGCTTCATTAAAACAAACATGCCAATCATCTAGGTAAATTTGGCTCACACCTAAACGGCTAGGTGCTGGTTGCTCAGAAAACCTCGGTAGCAATTCGTGCAAGACGATTCGCAAAATGTTGAATTTGACATACCTTTAAGTTGGACCTGATGTAATGAGCTTCGTGGCATTTAATCAAAACGAATCAGTGAAAAACGACTCAGTTTTCAAGTGCTGTACAAAATTGACTGATATGGTTAAACAAATTCATTTTTAGTGACGTAAATCAGGACTTTGCATCAGCCAATAAAGTGCCACTACACTTTGGCAAATGATGCGCGGCAAAAGTTTCCTTTCAATAAATTCTGACATCGTCCATCCACCAAAAATAAAAATAATTGCATGAGGTAACGAACAAAGTGGTGTTTCCTTTTAAAAGGCACGATTTCAAGAAGAAAGTTGAACACTACGTGAGCGTTTTTTTTGGAAGCAAAACCATGAAGTGCATCTCAAAACGGTATCACACAAACGTTTCAGTTGAGATCTAATGCAAGGAACAAACAACGACAGACATAGCATTCCCACATCTGGTGTTTTATGAAGTTATTTACCAACAAATCATAGTTAAAGGCATCTCAGAGTGTCGCAAAGTGCAGAGGTGGAGGAATTGATGTGGAATCAAAGCAGTTTTGCCAGTACTGCGTAGGAGGTTCTTGTCGCCGTAAGATGAAGGTGCAGCCAGAGTAGGTCAATGCTTTGAGAAACTTCATTGGAAGGGATTTTTTAAGAAAACGATAAAAAAGGACTTAAATTATTATACTAAAAGAGCTTTAGTTTTTACAAAATAGGTGCTATTGATGATACTTGGATAATTTTAGCATTTATTCCAGATCAAACGCTTAACTAAATGCTGGCCAAAGCGCAGCAAGCAGTCTCAAAATTTAGCAATACGCCTCAAAACGCCTGGCCAATCAGAGTGACCGCACTGGCAAAGCTAACGGCGATTGGTTAATTGAGGTCGTGCCCACACCCTAAATGGCAGTAAATATTCCGTGTTTGATGCCAAGTGTATTCTCTAGAATGCAATGTTGGCAAAAAAGGATGTAGCTTGTGAGGCCGTTGGATGTTTAAATTGCGTAATTTCATGGTAGACTGTCTTGACAACAGCTATATTAGATGTGGGATCTAATTTTTAAGGATTTTTCACCAGAAGGCCTTGCAGTTGCGCATCCTCAAACAGTCGAGGCTGCTGTCCAGGGCACGGCTGGTCACTGAGATCGAAATTACCACTTCTGAAACGTGTGCCAATGGTTACACGCTTCGTAAGACACAACTTGGGCACCAATAACACTACAAACTGATTCCCCATCTTTCCTTTGTTTGAATGCGCTGTTTGTGACAAAATAAACGTAGACTTTTACTCAAGCCAACCAACCCAATCAGGCCATCTCAGACGCACCTGATTGGAGGATGCTTGAGTAGAGCAGCCGGTTTGGCTTGAATGCCAAAAGTAAGCTGGCCAATGACAGGCCTTCTTTGCACTGCTTGTTTAAAGTTGAGTGCACAAGACAGTGTCAACTTTGGGTGTAGTTTACTCTTTTATACAACCCACGAACGCGCCTGAAACTGGCAAAATGGCGTTTTAGTGGTATGATTTAAAAACGACACCAAACCTCGCGTAAACTGACAAACAAGGGCGGTGGTCCTTGGCAGTGGAGGGGCATCACTAGCAGACGAAGTGCAGGCCTTCAAATGCGAGTGGAATGAAGGCATTGTGAAACATGCCACAATGGTGAAGGCACTTAGCATTTTGTCGTAGAGCGTTTGTTTAGAGCGATAGTGCCATCTGCAGGACCACGTGTGATTTATGCGTGGTGATGCTGTGTGGGGGCACGCTGTCCAAAATCTGTAGAAAGGTGACGAATTGGGTTTACCTTGCCACGGTACACGCCGTGTGTGTGTGTGTGTAGTGTTAAACTCCGTGAGACGCTAACCCTGATGACGGCCACCAGCGCGAGGTCGCAGCGCTAGTGGATTTGTACCTGATGCACATCAAAGAATATGTGTTTAATTAAAAACCCCACTGGAGCATGCTTCCACCTCCAAATCCGAGTGGTGGCGTTTTATATCGGAATCCACGTTGCTAAATATGATGTGAATGACTTAATTCTTATAAATTCATTCATCGAGCTTAAAATTGTAATCAAAAATATTTTTGCGGTGTTTTTTGGTTTTGTAAGGACCGCATACAGGGTTTCACAGCACGGAACGATAAGGCTACGCGAGTCACGTAATCTCTCAAACTAGCAGAGTTTACGATGACAACTGATAAACAGCGCATTCGGTGGCACTGCATTTTATGCGAATTGCAACAGCAAGGAACAATGCATGGGAAGCAAGTTGAAGTGTTTCTGGTGCCGATGCTGTGTCTTATGAAGCGTGAAGTAATTGGCGCAAACGTTGAATTAGAAGTGGTGATTTCGGTCTTGGCGACCAGCCACGCCCCAGACATCAGACTCGAAAGTTTGAAGACGCGCAATTTCAAGCTATACTCCATGAAGACTCTATGAAAACACACCAAGAGCTTGCAGCGCCTCAGTTAGGAGTCAACCAAACAGCGTTTGCACCAAATGGGAAAAATTCACAAACTTGGAAGTTAGCATCAAGCAGGGAATGGACTTCTTGTGGGAAATTGTAATGAGTGAAGAAAAGTATATATTTTTTACGAGAATCCTAAACGTTAAACGTAAGAAATCATGTGTAGATCACGGGCGACCCAGTTCATCGACGCCAAAACATGACATTCATTTGAAGGAGATTCTCGTGGGTATCTGGTGGGGGTACATGAAGGGTCTACTGTATTACGAACTCTCAGAAGGTGTAAGATTTCTCAAAAATATTTTTTGCTGTTAACTATGGAACAGGTATTCTCCCTTAAGTGCCATGCGAGATTTGATAAGGCAGCAAAAACTCATCAAATTGCAAATTGAAAAAAGAGGCAAAGAAGTGTACGTCGCTGAAGGGCAGGGGGCAGCGAATGAGTCACGTAGTTCGTGCATTTTTGCCGGTTTTACGAAAACCCCAAACGTAAAATGCCCGGGGTAGATCTCGGGCGACCCAGAGCATCAACGCCGAAACAGGACATCCGTCGACTTGAAGAAGGTTCTTCTTTGTATGTGGTGGGGGTACACGAAGGGCGTACTTTATCACGAACTCCTGGAAACTGGTCGTCAGACGGTGACTGCGTAACACTACAGTCGACAAGTGAGCAAACTGAGAAAATACCATTTACTTGTCAAGGAAGCTGGCAGGTTATACTGGTCCCATACAACTACCATTTGTACTGATTAATGAAGCTGCAAGCCCTAGTGGACAAACAGTTGAAACTGTTGAACGATAAATTTATTGCCTCGAAGCCTGCACATTTTATTCTTGACGGCATTCGTAAGTTTCCCGAGGGATCACAAGATCACAGAAAACGATGGATTAAAACAAGATTAAATTTGCTGTTCTTCATTTGTTTTACATTCAATAAATTTGTTAAACGACAGATTTTGTTTAAAATCTTCACCGCTATCCGTCGTACAATGGGCAAACCGCCACTACGACACAATCTCGCCTCCTGCTTGCCAAAATGTTTTACTAAATTTTCACTTCGCAAACACTACCTGGTGAAAAGAGCGAAATTAGGAAAAATTGACAAGCGTAATGGGTTGAGAGTTCCATCCCCTATAACTAGGAATTCTATCTATTTAAAAATAGTTCTTTGGAGCAGCCTGAAAGAGAATTGTAGCTGCAAACCCCAGGAAACAGTCGAGTTGTCTCTACAGGTCACCTGTAATGTTGCCCTTTGTGAGTCGAAAGCCGTGTATTGCAGTCTGATTCCATCTGCAAGTTTCTGTTAATGTGGAGCTGAACAAGGGCGCAGACATATCGAATCACTCTGAGCTCAACCAATCCTCGGCCTATGTGCGTTTGAATGGCCTGCGAAGAAGACCTGAAGCCAACCAGAAACAAGGTTGGATGAGAAACAGGATATAATGAGCGGAGTAGGCAGTATAATTGGCTCCGATGTACAGCACCTGAGGGACGGTTCCGGCTTCTGATTGGTCAGTTGTACTAGGGCGCCGGTATTCTACATTACTGGGCTCTGAATACATGTTAGTACTCCACAAAAAACATTTTTCGCCAATTTGTGTAGTTTAAGTTACCGCGCATAGAAGCCTCGCACTACTGTGCACTTTCACACACTCCAACGCTTGAGCCGCCGTCCCGATTTACATAATTCCCGTGGGTTTTGATGTTGGGTAGGACAAAAGTAACCGATTTTTATTTAAATCAATGCCGAATCCACAGAGCAAGAGGAACAAAATCGCTGTAGGAGAATCCCGGCCAACGCTTTTTGCATCTAGTGGACGCAAACCCTTTTAAGTCCAAAATTTCCTTTGGAAAGTAGTGCATTGAGATGTCGAAAGGAAGCTCAAAATCACTAGGGTCTAGTACTACTAATACGAGTACTGCAAGAAAAAAGAATGCTTTGTCTTCGTGTTGCATAAATTTCGAGGATCGCTAAACACTTTGCCTTGAATAAATTATTACAGGAATTTGCAACCTTTCACATCGAAATTCCTTTATTGATTTTGAATCTAGAAGGAGAACCACAACCAGTCCTGCATTGAACCGCCACTGCCGCCACCACCACAAACTCCATGACTTGAATTGCAGCATCCACCAATCACGTTTCAGAAAATTAACACAGCGGACACTTAGACGTGCAAACGCCCTAGAGAATAACTCCCGACTACAGCTCAAATTCTGTGGTCTAATGCTCTGACTGTAGGGTCGGACGTAATTACTAAGTAGTAAAAAGCAAAGTTATATCAAATCGCAACCCAATAAAGCCCTAATGTGATCGTGTTTACACGGAAATGTGTCCTATTTAGTTACGAGTACTGTGCATCGGTAGAAATGTACCTAAGAGCTTCGACTCACATTCAAGGCTTGTTTTAAAAAATGCTTAAACAAAATACACCTACTGGTTGTCGAAATTACATACCGGAATTCAAAATTGACACTGTTTATAGGTGTCTACTTTTAAATATAACGGTACGCATTACTTATGGTGCGTTTCGGCAAGAAGCATCAGCAAATCCGAAACCCCAATCGTGATGTGTAAGCAAGCGTTCCAAAAAAATAAGACGAGGGCCGTTGTTCCGTGTGCAAGTTTAGGACTCTGGATCCACTTGACTGTCATCACACCACACATCAACACAGAACCCTTACTAAGACCAAATTCCTACCAGTTTGCAATTGAATCGTAAAAACGCTAGGATGCTTGGTGCCGGTACAACCGTTTGATGTTTGGAAATTTAATTATGAAGACACGCACCAAATGCACTTTGGTAACGAGGTGTTAACACGCCGCTGCATTGCAAGCCAGGAACGACTTCTAGGTGCGCAGTTGGCATCGGCGGCTGTTCGGTTCAAGTCAAATGCCACAAGCTAGCTTGAGAGATAGCGGAACACATACCCAGATGTCTACGATAGCTATTCAAGCCTCTGTGGTGAAGGCAACGTCTGGGGAATTGTCGCGGCAACTCCTGGGATAAGGGATCGCACATTCGGCTTGCCAACACATGTCTCATTCAGATGATTCTCTTCTACTGTGGCTAACCGTGAACCCGATCGGTCTTAGTTTGAATGATGCGCCGTTTGAGTGCCTAGATATTTACCCGCCGAAACTTGCCGTACCTGCCTCTAAAATGGCAACACGAATGCTATGTGTTCAGCCAATTTAAGGCAATTACCAAACAACAAACACTCAGAGTGACACTAAACCTCTACACTCAGAGTTGACTCAGCCACAATAGTAACTCCTTGTGAATCACAGTTACCGCGCATTAAATAAGCAAAGTATGTTTGGCTCACGCAAACGCCTTGTTTGTCATCAGCACCAAAGCGCACACCAGTGTTTGCATCAAACAAACGACAAGATCACTGAGATTATTGGATTAGCATAATGATATGATACTCGAATTGGACTTCAGTGTAAAGCCTAGTTTCTCGTCGCCAAACGCGGACTAGTGAGTTTTCTACGCAAAGCTACTTGGGGGTTTGATCCAACGACTTCATACAAACGACGAAGTTGCCTGAATGCCTCAACCCAGGTTATCCAGCACATGGCTACGCCAAGTTAGACAAAGTACAAATATGCAAAGTGCTTCACACCACACGGCGATGAAAGATTAGATTAGACTGAGCAACCAAAACACAAAGAGTGGACACGTGAGTCAGGCAAGTAAAAAAAGCAAGACAAGAAGCGGGGGGAGGGTGATTTAATTATCACAAGGTTTGTACACGTAGGGAGAGCCGGTCGATTACGTACTGTGACATACAGAAGACTGGATTGATGTCCCTAAGGGTAAAAGAGGCGACGGACAGGGCATTGGTCTCGCTATCACCACCGTTGTGATTGGCCGGCGCCGAGGTTTCGTGGGGATTTAACCTGGACAGCAAGGAGAGGCCGGCCAGCCCAAAGAGGGTGTGGAAGGGGTCCGGATAGTTGCCCGGGCGGTCGCTGATGCCGCCAGTTTCGGTGTCCTGGCTGGCAAAAATGAACTTGGTGAGCTCTGCCGCGTTGATCCACATTAGGCGACCCAGGATTGTAAGCGTAGCGAGAACCCACCTGTCAAATTACAAAAAAAGAGCAAGCTACATGTGGACGGGTACTTCGACGAAACCTAAGCTACTACTACTGCACTCGGGGGTTCCAGAAACCCAAAATCCCGTTTAGATAAATGACCCAGTTACCAAAGTCTGAAAAACGTGTCCGAGACAAAAAACCTAGCTTATTGGAAGGTGGTGAGGCGAATTTGGTGTCATGCTTGGCAGCAGAAGTGTTGTGACCCACAAATGCAAATTAAATAGGAAAGACAGGGTCCAACAACGGATTTTACCATAAAAAGCGTCAGGGTGCCAAATACCACATTGAATAAGCAAAAGTATGTCAAGAACACGTGAAGTCGTTTATGAAAGGGAAAAGCCTACCAAAGTCCCAAGCACAGTACCATATGACGGAGATTTTCGGTATAGATCACGAACAAGGGTATAACGACAATGCTTGTTTAAAATGGACCACAGAATTAAGAACCAGTGATCGACTGATTGAGCAATCCCAACATAACATTGAATAGGTGGTCCAGTTTTCAGTTGAAAGTGTGATAAATTAAGGAGAATAATAGGCATGGTGAAAAACCAAACTAATCCCAAGGTAATTGAAAGCAGAGTTACCCAGGTTATATTGGGTACGTGGAACTTGCTGGTTCCTTGTGCCTGAAACGTACAAGAGGCATGTCTAATACAAGTTTTGCCTAAGAAGCGCGAGTCGGCATTCGTAGACAAACGGGGTAAAGAAACTTAGGCGCCCTAACGAAAGACGTCGTTTTGTTGCAGTGAAGACACATTTCATGCAGTCATGCATCAAAGGCAAAGGGTTGCGTGTGCACACCAAATGAGGAATGCGGCCAAAACATATTTCAACCTACGTGATAAGTCATGAAAACGCTAAGCAACCGCAAGTTTACAAAACTGGTCGAATTTTGTATCCGCATTCCATACGATGCAGTCATGAAGACAAAAGCACTGCATAAACTCGAGCAAAAATAACCTTGTCAGTCGTAGATCTACATTTTCGAAGGAAAACACAAGAAATGAAACGATTGTGAAGAGTACTTCTCTTCTGAATACACATGAGTGACAAGACTCACGGGTCAAGGTATGAGCATAACGCAGAATGCCAAAAATTTAGATGTTATAGGGCCATGCGATACATTTGTTTGGGATCGGTCTAAACAGAAATCACCAAGACTTCAAACCATGCAAACTGGATAGTTATAGTCAAGACCGAAGTGAACATGTATTCAGAAATTTATTACAAGACAATGCGCTAAGCATTAAAGAGAAAATCGTATTGAACAGTTAGTGTAGTGATTGGTCAAGCGATTTTGAGCACCAATGCTCCATTGGCGGAGGTAGAAGATCGCCAATCACGTCTGGTTTTGGCTAGTGACTTTTCTACGCGAAGTTAAATTCCAACATGGTCTATTTAAGAGCTTGATACAACGACTTCAAGCGAACGACGAAGTTGGCTGAATGCCTGAACCCTCGTTACCTGGCACATGACTACATTAAAATAAAGAGTAGGCATTACATTTGTAACGAGGGGGCTTTTTCAAGTCCAAAGTAACGCTATTACCAGGGATATGTCAGTTCATGAACTCGAAAATCGAGAATGTGAATTCTACGAAAAAGTGACAGCGAAAGCGTACGCGTTAAATGCATTTTCACGGTGTACAGTTGACCCTTAAAAGCCATCCAAGTTCACAGACAACAATTGAAACCAGTAGTGTCGTTCTTTGACGGACAATTGTCTCCAGTGCAAAAACTGCCACAAATGGAAGGCGAAACGACAGGCTCAAGCCGGCAGGGGCCGGAAATGAAGAGACCTACCACGAGTAACAGACGTCCGGCTGTTTTCCTGGTCTGCCGTTAAGACCACCGCTTGGAAGTTGACGCTCTGCGAGCCACCAAGCTGCTTTGCCAATGTCCAACATCCTCAACTGTCCGAGCAGAGACAGGGCGCCGACAACGCAGTAGGCCTGTCCAGCATGAGACTCGCTGCCCGGTCGAGTTCCGAATCCACCGTCTCGATTTTGACACCGAACTAAGAAGTCCACAGCCATGTGTATATCGACGCCCTCTAGGGGTTGAGTAAAGTCGCGAGAATCAGTTGGAATAACGCCTAACAAACTGAGTGAAGCAATGGCACAAAAGCTGAACCTGGAATCGACTTCGCCCCATTTATCGCCCATGAAGCTACCATCCGGGTTCTGTGGGACAAAATATCAAAAACACGACATTAAAGTAGGCGAATAGTCAGAAGTTAGGTAAAGAAACTAGCAAGAAATATACAAGCCCTTTAAAGTGTGCATACTCAGCAAGACGCACCTGTAAGCCTGAAATGTAGCGAATAACCGACTCACGGTTAATAACGTTCATTTCGTCATACATGGTGAGTATTTGAATACCACTAAGTGTGGACAAAAGATGAGAATCATGGCCTGGAGCTGGCGAAAACCCTCCATCGTCGTTATGGCAGGATTTAACAAAGCTTATAATCATATCTTTATCTACCACATCGAGTTTTTTCATTAGATCGAGAGCAGTTAATGACCAATATATTGCCGACAGCTTCATGTAGTCTAGCGTAGGATCCTGATTTTTCTCAAGCGCCTTAAGAAAAGCAATGTGCTTCTCAAATATAAGTTCCTGCGGCACATCTGGAGACAGGCTAACGTCCACAATAGGGTGAGCCATGGACCACAAAACACTAAAAGCGCGTAAGCCTGTGGCGTCGGATTAGGGCGCAGACATATTGGACCACGAAGAGCCTCAGCCAATCCTGTGTCCCTCTGCATTCCAATGGCATGCGAGGAAGATAAGCAGGTAACCAGAGAAGAACACAACTGAGGTGCAGTATATAATGAGCGGCGTGGCCAACGTGGTGGACTCGGATGGAAGGCGCCTGACGCGTGGCTCTGGCTTCTGATTGGTCAGTAATGCCTGTTCTGTTGTACCGGTATTCTTCCTATTAGGGCTCGGGTATTCTACAAGCCACAGCCCACAAATCAACGGCAAAACTAGGTTAACATAAACCAATCAGCAATCAGTTATTTGCAAGGTTTAATTATCTAGTCGACTAATTTCAAATACTAATTTCCTGAGATTTCTCAGGCATATATATTTTTTAAAAAAAGAAATAGGTCAGGAAGGAGCCTGCGAATTTACTTTAGCAAAGAAATTTGGGGTGAAAACCAAAATAAATTACTTTTTGAGTGACAAGAAATCAAATTATTCATGCTGACATTTAGATAACACCAGGATCATCTTCAAGTATCGTCATTTATGGTGTACCGAGGTGCTGGGATCAAATGAATCCATTCAGAGTTCTTTGCTCTGGCAAAAATAAAAAAGTTTCGAAGTGATGTGTGGCACCTGTAAAGATTTTGTCCAAAGACTTTTTTTTTAACTTTTTTTGCCAAATGTGACATAAACTCTTTTGGAAAGTGCAATTCCATCATTATTACTGACATTGGTTTTCTCGTATAATATGACCTCGGGAGCCCCAATTAAGGACTTTAGGTGCACACGTGTAAACTACAAGCATTAAACGCTTCACATAAATCATTTTTCAAATGTCGGACAGAAGTGCTAAGTATGTACCTCACCGATATTGCGACGACGTTGACTTCCACAAACAAAAAAGGCCATGATGTTTAAAGGGTGCCTGATATTATATTGGCCAGATTTTACGAATTTTGCGCCTCTAAGCAAAGTTGGTCACGAATGCCAAGTACGATGTAGCCAATAATTAGACCAATAACAACGCATGTAAATTTAGGCATGTTAGCGCAATAAATAAAGTAATTCACAATGACAGATGAACAGGGCTCGTGTTTGGGCACAAGTTTAAAACCATTTTTACTATTCAAATATTTTGTGCCATGTCGGCACTAAACTATTAAACCAGACAAATTATTGCGTCTACGTCACTTTTAACAAATATTTGGCAAAACTGCAAAAAATGAGATAAAGTAATCCATTATATTTGATATATAATATTATTAAAAAGAGAAACTAAAATGTGACGAGATTATAGCCCCTGTCAGTTACTCCAAAATAAATGAAATGAAACTGTTCGTTACTGGGCTATTGTCCATCACAGAGGTGTGAATTAAGAAAAGTATTCATGTTGAACACCAGTGGTTTATGAATTAGTTACTGGTAGCTACCGACAGTTCAACGACCTTGATTATTGCTGTATGATTGTGTGGGCCTTTTTGAGAAATTAGGATAGCAGATGTTTTCGTCAAAACTTGGAATTATTTTTTCAGTTTCATTGTATATTTTGTTGTTCTATTCAATTTTTGATATATATTACACATCTCCTCTTACACACGGGCTGAGCTATGATCGTCCTTCAGTACCTGGCTTGGTAAATAACGTTGTATTCATTGTTGCGGATGGCCTCCGTTATGACAAACTTTTCACTGAGAAAATGGAACATACTCCAACTTTAAGGTAGGTGCATTCACTGAGTACGCTGATGAATATTTTTGGAGCTTATTACATGCATACCTTGGCCTTGCTGCTAGTCAGTACTCTGCGTTATAATTGTTACTTTTATTCATGACGCATATACTTCCTAGTAGCAATGCTTATATTGTTATTAATTTTTTAAACTATGGGTAATAGTTGGCAATTTCTTAATAAATCGCGTTCCTTTTTTCGTGAAATTAAAAGTTCCGATTTTTCTCATTTGTTGTCAAACACGTCCTAGGTCTTCTTTATTCTTTATTCCTAATCTATTTTTAACGTCAGTGAATTCGTCCTAATTCCATTTATCAATTAATCTCTTATTAGTCTTTGAGACCCTGGTAAAATAATTACGATTCTTCACACCGAATCTGCTCTTCCTTTTTAATAGTTTTATGTAGTTGTAGTTTACCGTGCCAATTTTCATTTGCTATTTGCAATGTTCTATTGATAATAATTCGGTACTATTAAGTCCGTTTCTTCTTTAGGGTAGAATATTTATTATTAATTTTTAGCGTTTCTCTTGTGGACTTTAATCCGAATCATTTGATATGCGTTTTAGATCTAATAAGTTTTTTTTGTGCTTTTACTATTTTTTTTAATGATAGGAGTATAGTCATGGACCGGGGTAGTTGGGGCTTCTCCCACACAAGAGTCCCCACGGAATCTAGGCCCGGACACGTTGCTCTTTTTGCCGGATTTTACGAAGACGTGGCTTCAGTTACAAAAGGTATCACATGATCTACTAGTCTATAGACAACACAGAAACCATGTCTCCTCTACCCTTTTCTAGACTTTTTTCATATTTTCCGGTTTAGTAAGATAAGTTAAACATGACATAATTCCTGAGCGTGCAGTAATTCTCCCATCTAAGATGTTTTCGAGTCATTTTGAATAGATTACCTGACTTTATGCAAGTCTTTTAACCCAAATGGCTTACGCAATTTGTGCTTCTTCTTTGGTAAGGATGGCAGGCCAACGCTGTTGAGTTTGACTCCGTCTTCAACCGATCGAATCAGGTGTTTGCGTGGGGTGGTCCCGATGTGGTTCCTATGTTCCAGCCACCTGATCGTGTCGGTGATGCTCGAGTAAGGATTGAGAGCTATCCGCACTCTATGCTCGATTTCACAGCCGAAAATATAACCCAAGTGGACGATTGGGTTGTCGATCGATTCTCCGTAAGCCAATTTAACTTATTTGTTTCGCCTTGGCACAGCTCACATTGTATTAACATGGAATCAACTTAAACACATGCTAACTTTGTAGTTTGTCATTGTGTGACAAATCTTTACAATATGGCCTCTCTGGGGTGATATGACAACCTCAAAAGCCATCAGCTGGATGTTTCGAGACTTCTGTGTGAATTGTCCGCCGTATCGATTTTTTAGGAATTTATGACAGCAGAGTCTGATCTCTTACTGAAAACCGACTCATCAGGATCCGCAGCGGATGGGTTTCGCAGGGGAAATCTGGTTTTCCTTCATCTCAGCGCGGCAGATCAGATGGGCCACACGCAGAAACCAGGCTCTGAGGAGTACACTCGCATGATTCAAAACATCGACGCTAACATCGCTCGTGTGCTCAAACTCTTCGAAGGCAACAAGCAACTCGCTCAAGAAACTGCCTTCATCTTCACCGCCGACCACGGAATGACTGAGTGGGGTAGGCACGATCTCACCGCTGATTAAAACAAAACTATTTTTTGCTAGGCAGCCATGGTGCGGGCTCGCTTCACGAGACCGTCACACCACTCATTGTCTGGGGAAAACACATTCCCACACCTTCATCGGTGGCCGATTTGAGCAGAGCCTCTGGTGCCGACGGCCTGTTACCTTTCAACTACGGTTTGAAGCACTACAACGTCCGTCAGGCAGACCTGTGTCCGCTGATCGCGGCGCTACTTGGAACTCCAATCCCGGCCAACTCCGTAGTACGTGCTTCACGGTGCTGCAAAACAATCTGCCTACTTTTGTCGTTTAAGTAGAAGTAACGTTTTTTCCTAGGGTGAATTGCCACTGGATCTTCTGGATGTGGATTCCTCGCTGAAGGTGGCACTTATCAGGGAGAACGCGCAGCACATTCTCAAGCAGTTGCATGTAACTCGACGTGCTATTCCCCTCATACGCGTAACATCATTCTAGATTAAGTACGAGGAGCAGAAAGCCTGCCACTACCGTGTATTTTTTCGTGAATTCAGGCAAGTTGTAGTGTCCGTTTGTTTGACAAGGTGTTTAGCAAACTCACCCAAAACCAGATTACCGCCATGCTCGCAACTGCAACCTCGCAAACCAGGAACCAGGACTACTCCGCAGCTGTAAACCAGGGCCTTTTTGCCTCATCTTTTTTGTGCTAGATTGAAACATACCGCAGCATCATCCGATTGAGCTTAGAGGGCCTCAACTACTACCACAAATATGACCGCTTTTTCATGGGGTAAGCATTTGAGTGCGGCATTTTCCTTGCTTTGAACCACCCCATCTTTGCCTAGTTCTTCCATCAGTCTTATTGGCTATTTCAAGGTCAAACTGGGCTAATTCTCAGTGATTCTCAGTTGTCTGATATTATGGTGACAACGTCAGATCCACCTGAGCATCTGAGTGCAGCATTTTTCTTGCTTTGAACCACCCCATCTTTGCCTAGTTCTTCTAGCCCTTTGATTGGCTATTTCAGGGTCAAGCTAGGCCCATTTCCAGTGATTCTCAGTTGTTTGATACTATGGTGACAACCTCAGATCCACCTGAGTTGAAATAAAACTAATCTTGTCGATAGACAGTTTGCATAGTCTACAGCGTGGATTGGCTATTGGCCCTGAATACGTACGTCGACTGGCGGATCTTCTGCCTGTTGAATAGAAGGCAGAACGTAGCTAGGCGATCAACCCTACAGCTGTAGTCGTGTTGTTGTTTTTCTGGCGCTCACTTGAAATGTCGTACCACGCATGTGTGCGGCGTTTGCACACTGCCTCGCTCAGCCACTGTTGACTCACATTCAGTGTGTGTGTGTGTGTGCGCTTGCGCGTGAATGCTTGTTTGTTCATGGGGATTTGCATATGCGCAGTAGGCACAAGCAGGGCCTATTTGCATGTGAACGCCTGAGTGTGTGAACTTTCTAAGCAACCCCAACTGCCTGCTTAGCTAAACAAGTGGTTATTTAGGCTTCTTTGGCCCACTCAAACAACCTTCCTCTCTTGAAGTGACTTGTAGCCATTGAGTTTGACATTTCGGTGGAGTCGCTAATCTACACAACCTTGGAACCACCTTTCTTTCTGTTCAAATATGATCGACTTTATGTCGAGGCAAATTTGCTAAAACACGGCTGCCAGAAATAACACCTATTCGTCGTGTAGATCCTTCCATCTGGTCTCACTCATTGCAATTTAGTCGATTTGCTTGTTTTAGCTTTTGTATAGTGGCATCCTATGCGGTCTGGTCGTTGATGCTCTACGCCGATATGGTCAGTCGACATGGCGCAAGACCTAGCCAGCAAAACGGTCTCACGAAGTCCACCTGGACGTCCAGTCCTTCTACTTTGCTGGTTTTTCTCGCTTTGTGCTTTACTGGCGTCCTCATCATCCGGAGTGGTGAGTCGCTGTTGTTGCTAACTTCTTCAGCGTCTGTAGTTCGTGGTTTCTTTTGATACATTCGCCAAAATCGACCGCTTGCCAAGCCCCCTGATCGCTCGTTTTTCCCTCTAGTCTATCACCGCTCCTTGCTACGAACATTCTACCAACTACTGCCACTCATTCTTAGCACAATTCTCCTCACAAATTCACGCTTTCGTCTAGTCCTGTCCCGTTCGTCTGGCCATTTCTTTTCTGCTGAATCGACCAATGAAAAACGGACTGGTCCGAGGTTGGGCATGCTGTTGCTGCTTCTAACTGTACTTATGGAATTCGCCGTAAGCTTCCGTGTTTTATTGTTTCTGCGCGTTTTGTTTTCAAGTCGATTTGCGCACTGAAGGTGCTGTACTTTAACCAAATCGACGTTTGTCCCTTTAGCCTAGCACACACACGCACACACCCACTTAAACGCCGATCAATCAGAAACCGAAAAGCATGACTTACTTTGTACAGATTTTTCAGAAGATTTATTTGGAATGAAATTATGGAGAGCATCCAACTTTATCTAGGATATATCGTCCATCGTTTTCTATGGCCTTGCGTCATCTCTCAGGTAACGTACGAATGCTGTCGCGAAAGAAACTTTACAGGCTTCGAGGCATTCAAGTCATCGTCGATGAATTCACGCAAATCAACCAGCTTTTTTAAGTGTTTATCCACTAAGGTGTGCTGCTGAATTGACAACAATAAGCGGTAGTCGGATGGATCTAAGTCAGGTGAATATGCCGCGTGTGGGAGAACTTCCCATCCCAAATTCAAGAGGATCTTTTGGGTGGCGCGAGCAACGTGAGGTGGTCAAGCGTTGTCATGCGGCAGCTGCAGTATGACTTGTCTGCTTCCTTGTCCAGTAAATTGCCTCTTCTGATCAAGTTCTTCGCTTAGTTTGTTCACTTGCCGGCAGTAGCATTGCGCAGTCACTGTCTGACGATCAGTTTCCAGGAGTTCGTGATAAAGTACACCCTTCGTGTACACCCACCAGATACACAGATACAGATACCTCCTTCATGTGGATGTCCCGATTCTGTGTCGACGTACTGAGTTGCCTGGGATCTACCCACGGTTCTACGTTTTACGTCTGGGATTCTCGTAACAAAATATACATTTCATCACCCGTTCTAATTTTCCACGAGAGGCCCAATCGCTGATTGTTGCCGACGGACAAGCAGTGAAAGGCATGTGTTCTCACGTTGAGCTGCGTCGTTGTGTTCGGTCAACACATGTGCGGGGACCCAACTTCCAAGTCCTTGAATGTTTCTCATTCGTTGGTGCAGACGCTTGGAAATTTGTGTTTTGGTGACTCGTAACTGACCTACTCCACGCCCTTGTTTCGTTCACGCCGAGTCTTCATCCAGTAGAGCTTGCAGTCGCGCGCATCTTCCAACTTTCGAGGCTGCTGTCCAGCTCGCGGCTGGTCACTAAGATCGAAATCACCACTTCTAGTGAAACCTTTGTACCACAATGTCGACACCAAGAACACCACAAAATTGATTCCCCCTGTGCTTTGGAAGCACTTGCTCCGAAGCAAAATACTTCGTTTACCGTAGCGCTCTGTCTGGCAGTGATGTTTTTGAAAAAAATAACAAAAGCTATCATCATTAGTCATGGGCACTTTAACTCTCTGGTTTTGTGCGCCTTTTTTCACGCCTTCGTTCTCTCTCCTTTCAGCTCTGGGGCTTCATTCGTCGACCCTTGCTCTCGTTCGGAGCACTACTTCTCGGTGCTTGGCCCTACATTGACGTCTCGTTCATTGTGTTGTCAAATGTAATGCTTTTTTTCCATTTATCTTGTGTTTTTTTTTCGTGGAGTATCATTTGCATCAGCTCACAACAATCGCTGTGGCCCCTTGTAGAGGCAAACACTGCAGCGACTGTGGCTTGCAGCTTGTCTTGTGCTGGCAGTCTTCCCCACACTACCCGTGGTTGGATCATTCTCCTCCCCTACTCTGGTGTACGTACAGTTTTCCGGTTACAACCAATTTACCAGGTCGATTCTAACTTCTTCCTCAACCCGTTCAGACTCATTTCGAGCGTGTGCGTGTCGGCTGCCTCGTATGTCTTTCTCCAGAAGCGCTGTGAGTCAAAGCCACCGCATTTCTGGTCCACTGAGCCGCACTTTATTCTGGTAAGCATCCTCTATCGTGTGACGAAAGGCGGTCATTGTTATGACGCGAGGCTGTAGCGTGAATTTGTACCGTTTTCAGGTAGTTGGCGCTCTAGTCAGCGGTGTTCTTGTCTTCCTTGTTCGATGCTTGGTTGCTCTCTCTGCCCCGATTCCCCTCCTAATCCACGTGATTAGCTGGATTCTTTTGGGTGAGTGAACTAGGACAACTCTGGCGCTTCTTATTACCTGTAAGATCTTTTGGCGACGCGTTAGCCGGAGAATCACTCATAAGAAGCTGATATCATCGGTTGACGACATCTGTTAGAACTAGCATCTCTGTCAAAGACTTGCACACTAAATTGATGCCGTGATTTCCCTGGTGACCATTCTCCCGAAGTTGACCTCATTGTTAAGTAGCAACTTCTAATCACACAATTTGCGTCTTTTTTTTAGTTGCGTCGCCAGCGGTTGCCATGGTCAGCGCTGACTTAACCGTCAGCAGGAAACTCGTCAGCCTAACACTGGCCTTCTTCATCCCATTCAACCTCATGAATGTATTGTATCCTCTTGCATCCATCAGGCTTGCCATCCGACGTCCCTACTCATCAACGACCCTTAGTAGTCTAGTTCGCGGTTCTAAAATCTTGTCTAGACTTTCGGAATTGTTTTTTTTTGGGTGTCGACGTTTGAAGCAGTGCCGAATTGAGTGTCCCCCTGGTACTCGGTATGTGCCTCATCACTGCTACAGAGGTTGAGCAGTAAAATGCAGAATTGTGAATTCAATTTTTCCTGAATTCCATCCTTAACTCCGTGCCACTAGCTACGAAGGCGCCTTCTTCTTCGTGCTAACGACGGTGGCATTCATGTGGAGCTGGTTCGAGTCTGGTCTGGAATTTCACGAGGTTCGCTGCATTGCCTGTCTTTTTGCCACAAACTGTTTGACAACTAAGGTGGTAATTGCCCATTCTCCTCCTCCTCCTTCGTAGTTCTTCGGGCTGCGTTTGGCATCCGATGCCTCCGCACTACCGCCAGTCACCGGAGAACACACTTGCATAGATCGGGCGAACCTTCGTCAACCGTTCTTCTATGTATCCTTTCGTGCCGCGCGTAGTGTCGCATCATGCCGTTTTGCCTTTTATTGACAGCACAGTGGACGTGTCGTCGAGTGCTTGTGTCATCATTATCATCATCTAAGGGCGAGCCACACTGTTTTCTGTGCGTTAGACTGAATCCACAGCCGAAAACCTGTTCACACGTCACACGCGGGTGTACGATGACTCACTCCATGTCACCTGGCGTACCAACGCGAAAGCCTCATTTGCGATCCTTAACTCGAGTTTGTAGGTGTTTCTAGTGATCTACTCCTTCTTTGGCACCGGAAATATTGCCAGTATTAATACGTAAGTGGTTTTCCAAGTGTTTTGCAATTAAATGACCCTTGTGTTATGCTACCTGGTCTACTTTAGTTTCGACCCGGTATCCGTGTACTGCTTCATGACAGTTCTGAACCCTGCTGCGATGGGCACCCTGCTTATTTTTAAGGTAAGACCATCTCTACATCACCGCAGCCGACACCTACTACCTGCAGTGAAAGAAAGCTTGCCACAGAATCACCTTACTTATCATTTGCTTCCTTCACCGACACTGAACAGCAGACCCAAGTGCTACCGAAAATGACCTACTGTTGATTTTATCATTTTCACAACTGCAGATGGTCTGCCCCATTATGGTGATTGGCACGGTGTACGCGTTGATAGGCCGCGTGAGGGAGTCCCTGAGGGCTGGTTTGTCGACCCCTCGTCGCGACACCCACCACACCGAGACAACCATCCTCATGATCATCGCCAACTTCCTGGCAGTGCACTTTTTCGCCATGCTCAGGGATGAGGGCTCGTGGCTGGACATCGGGGAGAGCATCAGCCACTACGTGATCGCCATGTCAATCGGCCTAGCTAGTGTGCTTCTGTCGCTTTTCGGTCGACGCATGCTGACACCCCCAACTCCAACCGAGCCGCGTCTGCTAACCCCGAAGCTCAAATAAACTTTTGTGTGGTTTTTAATACTCACATTCTACAAATTCCTGCAGAATATATATACTTGTTTACTAGAGCAGACTGGGGAACGGAAAGCATCTTTATTATTTTTTTTTCGCGATGAAACACTTGGATTGGGTAGAAAATAAAATGTGGATAAAAGGAACTGGAAGATTTCGCTTGTCGTCTAGGTGTGGCGGCGGAAGCGCGTGTTGCAGATAGCAAGGGCGCCTCGACGAATCGCTCAACTCATAATACGCTTGACGAATGCTAAAATGCAAGTTGGGAGTTTGACATGTGCGAAAAGGAAGAGTTGAAGATAGGAAAAACGAGTAGTTGGGTGTTGTGCTGCTAATTTTTTTAAACAAATGCTGGCTGGGTCGCATATTAACACACAAGCACCCACTACAGTGCTAGTAAAAAGCAGGAAGAAAAAGGAGCTAACCTTCGTAGGGGACCTGCCCTTGACCATCCTCCATGCCAGAGAGCAATATATCGACCTCATCTTTGCGAAGTCGTTCACCCAGCTGTGTAAGCAGGTGCCGTAGTTCGGCGGCACTAATGTAGCCATTTGCTTCTTTGTCAAATACTCTGAAGCCTTCAATGAATTCTTCCGGATTGTTTGGCTTTTTCTCCTTCATTAAGCCTTGATATATCGGCAAAAAGGTCTCGAAGGTGATGCGTTCGCCTACAGAAAGCACTCAAATGCAAAAGCATCGACTAAAAGCGACCTGTTTGGTCTACAGAGGATATTTCCGTTTACGAAACAAGTAATTCAATACAGTCCAGTACCAACTAAATAAAGGCATCCGAACTCTGTAACCGATTTTGACCGTCGGAAAAAGTACAACTAACTGTAATCACAAAGAGTCGATAAGTCAACGAATATAATATTGGCGAGAAGAACAAGAACCGGTACAAACAGAAGATCTTTTAAGATAACAGAATAGCCGTTATAATCCAAAGTTGAGCAAGTTTTGCTCGAAAATGTGCCAAAAATATCGTTAGTAAAGTACCTGTATCGAAATTAAAAGAACTAAAGGCATTTTACAAGCCTAAATAGTGTTTCATGGTGAATTTTAAAAGTAAATCAGTGATACGCCGCTTGAATAATTGCGGATCTCATGGATGAAGTTACCCTCAGCAAGGATGGGCACCCCCAGGAGCTAAAATTAAAAAAGGAAATTCAGCAAAATGCTCATACTTACTAGGCTTATCTTTAAAGCCGTATTTTGCGATTTGGGCTTCGGTTGGAATTAGCCCTAGGGCGCGAACGAGATCACCGATGTACCGGGCCTCGATTTTTTCATCCTCACCAGTGGCAAAAAGAGCAAAGAGCTCTCTAGCGTCTTAAAAAAATAATTCACCAAGGCAAACGGTTACCTTGAAGTTCCTTTTCGGGCAAATCGGCCATGATACAAATTGATAACAAAAATATCGGAGGAAAAACAACGACAACAACAATTTCAAAAAGGGCGCCAACAGATCAATCGAAATAGGCAAGAAGCGGAATTGATAGTTTAAATAGAATGGTCTTTTCTCCCTGTTAGATAGCAGTGTTTACTGTCATTTTGGCTTTTTAACGTCATATTAGATCATATTTTAATGAAATTATTAAGGATTATCTTTAAGCCATCTAAAATGGAACAGTTGTTGGATGTCGTTCTTGATTAATATAGTCAAAAATAGAATAAACATGCCAGATGCCGGTATTAACAAAAAAAGATCCAACTGCTTTATTTGTTTCTAAATTTTTGATCTTATGAGCCAATTTTGCTAACATTGCTTTCGTTAGCGGCAAATTGAGCAATGTCTTAAATCAAATTATTGATCATTGCGTGTAGAGTCAGATTGTGGCCGCAATTATGCAAATGCGCGTTTTTGAAAATTTTCTCTGCAAAAAATATAACATTTTCAGGCCTCTATTAGAGTGCCTTAGTGCCCAAACAGTATGTCTACAATACTTATTTTCCAAATCGGTGCCCATTTATCTGAAGCAAATATTGTATGGTTAATGCTAGTCTAAATACTATGGATTAGTAAAGCTTGCTGCTATGCTTAAATTTTAGGCCATCAACAATATTTTTAATTTTTGTTACTTTGAATGTGGAATTGTTTCATGTTGACTAAAAAATTGGAATGACCTCTCTGCCATAATTTGTGAAATTTGAAATAATGACGCTAACTGGAAAATAGACTAAGTGTTGATTGTGCAGTAATAATTGTTATTTCCTTGGCCAATTTCCTTGCAAATGGGTATTCTAATGTATGTCCAATTTGGGATATACTTTTGTACGTTTCGGTAATTGTACTCAAGATTACATAACTTTTGATCTAGATATTCGATTAGAAATTTTTGTTGTTACTAAGTGTAAACAAAGACAATGGCATGCAGGTGAGTTAAAGAAGATTTACAATTGCGGAATGTCAAACAATGGTAAATAGGTTTCAAGCTATTCAAAGACATAAATACTTCTTGGTTAAATGACAAAAATGAATTTTTAAGTAATAACTTCAAATGATTACAAGTACGGAAAATACGACTATCTTTTTTTGCTTAAAAAATCACTTCGCTTATTTAATCCACCGATTCAAAGCAATCACCAAAAATTGTTAAGTTTGGTTCACAAAACTGCTGAATGTGTTAGTTGTTCGCATATATCGAAATATATTTTCGGACCCAGGGAGCAATAGATAAAGCATTTTCGCCTTTTTATTAAACATACATCTTCGTTACTATAATTTCTTGTTTATGCTGACCTGAGCATACAAGTGGGAAAGTTTGAACTTCCGTGAATTTCCAACGCATCAAGATGCCTGCTTTAGACTAAAAACATATACGAAAAATGTCATTATTTTTAATTACTTAGAGTTTCTTTTCCAAATTTCTATTTGCAATCAAAGGATTAAAAAGTTTGTCTAGTGCGCTTAATCACCTATGCCTTGCATGTCGTAGGAAGAAATTAAAGTGAAAAATACCACACTCAGGTTAGAGTTTAATCCAAAATTGTGCGCACAGGAAATTTGGAACCTGACAGACTGCAAAAATTAAAGTAATCCTTTAGAAAAATATAGACATCTAAAACGTTTATTTTACTAATTTTCCCCAGTAGATATTCTTTAATTTTGCCCACGTAACTACAAAAATAAATTCCTTGCATGCTTTTTCATTTTAAATAAAGAACAGTGGGAAACCATTTTCAACACTCTAATTACAGTTTTGGTCCTGGATGGTGTCGCGATCAGGAAATTCGCAAACTCCACATGGGTGACCTCATCTAGTTCAACAAACTAGATTATCTGCGATCCTGCAAAACCAGTCGATATTGGTAAAGCCGAACTGGCATTTTTGTGGGCTTTCTACCACGCCAGGACCCGTTTTGCGCAGCTGGCTCGCTTGTGCAAATCAGATATTCGAGAGGCAAGATCACCTACCAGACACCTCAACCTAATTGTGCTGTCGAGTGTGTGCATTCAATGTAGTTGTTGCGTTTTTTTCTGCTACGTAGATGCTAGTCCCTAAGCTAATAGCGAGAACCCCTTGTCTGGTACGTCGAAGGCCTTCAAGAAGAAGTCAAGACTACAGGTTGTGCATAGGGCTTCACTGTCTGAAGCAAAGGTTCGAGCACAAGATGGAACCAAATGCGGAAGTCGAGTCCATGCTTAGACGTGTCTGGACGATCTGAGATCGAATGGATTGAGTAATTAACCCCGACCAATGAGTTGATGGTGTTAACAGCGATGTGGCGTGGTAGCGGCGTTGTAATCAATTAGAGAGCGTTCAGCGAACAGATGTCGCTAGTCACTGTGTTAATATGGTTGCCTTGGCGACTGGTGACATCCCTGTAGCAAGCCCCAGTGCGGTTTTGAGGAATAACACCAGGGCCGACAACTTACGTTGACACGGCCCGACAGAAAGAAGTAAAAAATGCAGATGGCGCGTCGCTCAGCTACTTTATTGAAGCATCAGCAGTGTGCGGGTGTGTGTACAGGATAATGGGTGCGTTTATATAGCTCTGCTAAGCATCGATCTCTGAACTAACGCAGTTGCGTGAAGTGCATTCACAAAAAATCGATTGAATCGTGTTCGCTCACGTCTGCTAACTGTGCTCGTTTGCTATTCGCCATATCCCCAACAGTAGTGCATGACTGACATGGTTTTTAATCAATAATTTGGATTAACTCCCAAAAGTACACACTTCTAAATGTTGAGATGAGTAAAACGGGTAGGGGGAGATAGGAAGTACACACACAGCGGTGAGTGAGCAGACGGCCCATCTGTGAAAATCTGAGAAACACGATACGCTGCAGCCACCCTTTTGTTCAACGAGTTGACCTTACCATCCTAATTGGCCGATTTCCTCTAGCCTTCCTTTACTTCCAGTCACCTAGACATATCCAACTTTGGAAATTCAGAAATATTGGTCGTCGGAAACCTGGTAACGATGACTATTTGACGCTATCTGATTGGCTACCTTACTCGGAGTTGTCCAGTGAATTACGGCCCTGAAGCATGTCAGTCGGAATAAAACGAATTGACTTTGATATATTCGAATCCCATCTAACACATTTGTGGTGAATCTCTTTAAAAAAAACACAAACCTTCTAGATCATACTATTGAATTCCATTGAGCCATGATCGTTACTAGAACGAAGAAGTGGTTTCAATTAACAATAACGTTAGTTTTCGTGACCATGATAGGTTTGCTGCCGTGCTACCAGCTAACTTCTTTAGCAGTACAAGTGCAAAGTTAATTTATTGCAAGCTATACCTGCATAAACAATTGTGGAGTCGAATGAGAGCAAAGACAAGCCGATACGCTACATTCTTGTTGTGTTTATCCATAACAAACACAGTCTCCAATCCCTATTGGAGATTTTGAATAGTGTTCCAACAAAACTAGTCTACTAAAACAAGGGGTTATACGGAAATAACATGGCAAATTTTCCACTCATTAATTAGCCCAAAGTGCACACAGTGGCTTCCCTAATGCCCTGTCAATCTACCACAGTAGTTAATCAAAAAATTTAATCATACGGAGTCAACAATAACCTCGCATCACTTGCAAGAACGTAGTTATACTACGATTCACCATAGGCAGTCTTCCTAGGTAATTTTCGTGGAGTCTTTACCCCGTGATTCATTCTTCTGAAAACTGGACGACATCATGTCGCATTAACCCATTTTTGGCATCCTTAGGTCAGAACATAGTCCATCGTATCCCATTCATTGCATTTTCCGCGTTAAAAATTAAAATTCTGGCTTGTGCGAGCCCAAAAATGCAGAAAAAGAGTGAATGACAAATGGCCCATGTGCATTTATTGCTTATGCGACCGCAGGAAATATTTCATATTTGGGCATAAATTATTATTGCTTGATGATAATTTAAGGCAAGCAAGTTCATCAATCGGGCAACACCTCAAAAATGTCCGATAGTCGCTTGTTTTTAGAGAAACGCACCTGCACGTAAAGCAAATATGCAAAATCTGTAAGCTACTGTGTTGGTTAATATTCAAGGCGTAATTTTCTGACATCATGCTTCCATTTAGGTTAATTTAAAACGTCCCGCATATTCTGCACACAATTTAAACAATCTAGTTTAACGGTACTTAACAATATGGCGCTTACTTGAGCCAACTTATAAAAGCCTTATCCCACTTGTGACGTCTTTTTTATTCTTAATTATCGCAAAACGGCCTATTTTATTAAAAGCGTGCTCCATCCAACCCACGCACGCAGGTCTGGCCTGTTCTTTGTCCTCCTCCTCCTCCTCTTTTCTCCCACTATCACACCTTCCTCATGTCACGCCCGTGGGCCTGAGGGCAACACCAACCCCCCACCCCCAAGGCCATTCCCCTCATCCTCCAGCCCTCACTATCTTCCAAAGCTCTAGCTCCTCTGCATTTGCACGCATTATTATTGGAAAGCATCGGGTTTTTCCTGCTATTCTTCTCTTGTATGTCCGGTAGTCAATCCTGATTGGTGTGGTTACCTTGGAGGGTTGGGCTAAGAGTTATCTGTCCGTTTAGATCCCCTCTCGATAGGCGGGTTACACATCTCACTCGATGGTGAACGGACCAATAGGAACAAGGCGGGCAGTATGAATACGAAATTTGGTGTGCATAAGCACAAATGATAATGACAAGTAGAAAGTTGTACGAGTCTTGGCAATTGTAGTCTTGGGGATCCGGATTCCCCAACAAACTAGTGTCATTAAAACCAGTTACATTACATGAGGTGACCCCAACTAACTGACTACGAAATTTCGTTCGAATTCCCTTTAAATACTTTAATTTGTAGTTTGTGAATAATGAGGCAAAAACGCCCTTTATGTTGCGCAGATCTCATTGATCACATCATTTTGTAAAGCTTAGTTAATGCTTGAACAAAACCTTTTTAGAGTCTTCAAAAACAGACAATGCAAACCGCTGCTTAGTTGATTTGTGAAAAGTTGATCGATAATGTCAGCCAATTCTGTAACATTAATCGAATAAATTCAAACCGAAACTTATATTTTAGCGTACTTATAACTGTTTTGTTATCTGACCACTGCGGCAAGAAAGTGATAGTTCATCGGGAATTGGCAGACCTATCCCTTGATTGGCTAACAGTTCCAACTGCTTTTTTCAGCCTGAAATGACCATGGCTCAGCACCTCAGAGATTTATCGATTTATCGAGATCAGAGTTCACGTTACTTTTCACAACGCACATGAGAAAGTTCAGCCATGCCCGGGGAAAATATGTACGAGGTGAATATATTTCACCTTAGCACGGGTCTGTAATTAACCGAAGTCGCCTCACCTGCTCACCATCTTCGTCCGCTTCCAAGCGAATACGCAGTCTCACAAAGCACAACGCCTGGGCTCCAGCACGTCGAACGCAGTTGCGCGCGCGCGAGCGCACGAGCGTGCAAAGGTCGATGTCCCTTAACCCACCAGCCAATCAGAAGCCGGCGTAGGCCACTTCCTCCCCGCCACACAAGTACACCCATCTCCCCCCCCCTGTTCACCGCAGTTCCACACACACACACAAACACGCCACACATTTAATCCGTTTTCAACGTTGAATACTCATCCACCTCCATCCGACGAACTTCCAGACAGTAGGACCCGTGGAGACGACGAGCCTCGTTATGACCGACCTTTCAAACAACTCCGTCAGTGCAGTTGCTGCTGACGCTGCTGCAGCTGCCACCGCCGCCTCAGAGAGCCAAGGTAAGGAGGCGCGTTAATTGAATGATTATGATTATTACTGTTGTTGTCGTCATGGCGTCTGCAATTAGGGCGGACATGTGCGCGAGAACCGGTAACAAGCAGTTGCTAGTGCAAATGCGGCAGGACCACACCAACACGCATGTCCCGTTCACATGTTCCGTGGGGAGTAATTAGGGGTAATCTGATTACTCCTATCGCTAATTGGCAGTAACTGGCCCTCAACACTACGCATGCTTGTACTAATATATTCGATTAGCCTACGCGTTATTAATGGGGCTGTCCTTCCGCTATTGGCTGATCCAAACACCAAATGAGTTTAAGTATAAATGCGCCATTTCAAAGTGATTAATGTACTTCACACTGTAAATAGTAGACCTTAATTTGTTTTAATCGAGTGGGAATGACTCTCTTAAACGCGAGTAATATTTCTTTCTGAAAATGGCCAAGTAAACCAGCATTTACGAGCGTTAAACGCTTCTGGAGTTGGGTGGGATGGTCTTATTTCGATTTTTCTTCCCCTGTATCTCCACTCAATTGGTTTGTTTAGTTAAATCCACAGAATAATCACCAATTAAACTCGTTTGGACCAAAATTGGCCCGAGTTAATCTATCACCTCAAAGTCACGTGAGTTAATTTGGTATGGTTTTTAGTCAGATTGCGTTGTCAACACGAAGGGCATCAAATCAAATCAACATTTAACTCATTTAATCTAGAGTTAATTACAACTTGCAATCTCTTCGAGCTTCTAAATATAATAGTAAGGAAACTTTACTGACAGGAAATTTAAAAAATGTATTAACTCCATTGCTTATTTCTGGGGCGTGGGTTATTTGAAGTCTCATCCCCGACACCTGCTGCTCAGATAAGTAATAGGTTATGACAGATGAAATGAAGGTGTGGTTGGGTAAATATGCCTTGGGTGCTGCCAATTTGGATTCCTAAATTCCTGTTTGAAGTTGTAACACACCATTTAAGTAGCCAATAGGTAGAGTTCAGTATTTCCATCATGTGCTTTGAAGCGAACCCTAAAATGTGGACTAATCTTTGAGCATTTAATTCCAAAACACAACTCCGGGTATCTTTCCGGTGAATGGGTTACGTTTATCACAAATTGCAAGCAACATTGTGCAAAACAGGACTCGTTATTTTGTTTTAAATGCAAACAAGACTTTTTCCCTCCCTCTTTTACTATACAAAAGGCGATAGCAGGTGAAAATGGGGGTTAAAAACGTCTAACAGCCAATAGAAGGTGAGTTTCAGGTGACCGTCACTCTGTTTACCTAGTCGAGGCACCGTTAACACTGCTTTACTTCGACTTGTAGGGGTTTTCAATTTCCAAAGCACAACCAATCACATGGCACGAACATTCCACCATGGCAATCCCCACCTACCCTATTCCACTGTCGCACTCCCTTTTCCACTGAATCACCAAAAACAGAACTACCCTGACTTCGTCGCCTCGGCTCGAGTCGAAAACGCCGCGGTGAATGTGAGTTTGAGCGCAGGCGCCAGCGATGAGAAGCAAAAGAAACGCCGCAATCGAACCACCTTCTCAAGTATTCAGCTCAACGAGATGGAGCGTGTATTTCAGGTAAGCGAATCGATTGCGGCATTCACATGTTTCTCTTTTCTAGAAAACACACTATCCGGATGTGTATGCTAGGGAACAGTTGGCTCTGCGGACGGGACTAACTGAGGCGAGGGTCCAGGTGTGGTTCCAGAATCGACGTGCAAAGTGGCGCAAAAGGGAGAGACTGTGCAACGGGACTGGCAACAGCAGTGCCGGCACGATGTCGCCGTTGTCGTCGGTCTTTTCTTACGGCGAATTCACGGAGGGTACGCACGTCTTCCAGGATGGATTCCGGAAGGGTTTCACCCAGCCAGAGGTACCCTTCCCACCGAACCTAATTCCTCGCAGTAAAGTAACGTACCCGACCGACAATTTGCCCGCTCCCTACAACCCACCTCGACCAACCTACCCACATAGTATAGCGGAGGATGAACCCTCAAGGGCGTATTTGTCTAGATACATGAACCAATGGAAGACGTCATCATCGAATCAAGCTCCCTTCGATGAAGCCTCGAGAATCTTCAGTTCCCTAATGCCGAGGTTCTACAGCCCCACTGTCGAACCTTCGCCACCAGCACCAGCACCACCACCACCACCACCCCCGCCACCACCCCCTCTACCTCCGTCCACAGCGCCAAATCACCAGTTTCGGCAGGAGATGCCCTTGTACTTCAATCTTCCATGGAACGGGAGAACGCCCGAGGGCATTTCGAGGTTGATGAGGGAGTGGCACGAAGGTGAAGATGTGCGGTGGCCAATGCAGCGGACGAGGGACTACCAGTCGACGCCTTCCAGCGCTCCTGCACCCACCCCAGTCTACATGACGACTGGTGGCGACTATCCCAAGCCGTAGGACCTCCACGGTACAAACAGATCTATGACATCTGCTATAAATAAATGAATCACTCAGATTCCCAAATACCGATCTTCCAGAATCGCCAACGAGATGAGGTTATTTGGGGTGTTGTGGGCAAAAATCATGCCTCATATGTAGATAGAAGACTAGTAGGTTTGGGTTGTCTGGATTCCACTACTTCAGGAATCATGAAGTGAGTCTGTGACACGGACACTTAGGCGTCACAAGATAGTGAAAACACCAAAATGAGAGTACTTCAGTAAGGCGGCGTCAAATCAGCGAGGTGTACAGTAAAATATGTCGAGTTTACCTTCCAACATCATAGGCACCTACTTCGAGATGCTTTAAAGGTGAATGAGTGGGCATATCCACGTGTCCGTTCAATTACTAATTCACGATCGAGAAGAGTGTAGTTTGAGGTGTTGAACAAGTCGGCTAGGTTTGAATTGAACATTAGCCTAAAAATATTTTAATTGGATAATTATGCTTCTAGGAATTAAGTGAAGCTGGGAAATGCTACCAGCTGGCAGAAACCACCATGAAGTGGTATTTAAGCGATGATTGACACACACACACACACACAGGTCCAGCAGCCACGAGTTGGTTTGCACACGTGCGCCCAACCACATCGAACGCTCGCGATGTGGTCTGTCTGATTTTGGATGCCAGCGGGGTGGTGGTGGCGCGGGGGGTGAACACGGCGATATTGCCCATCCTCCTGGTAAACCCCAGATCAGTGGAAAACACATTTAGGCGTGTTTGACTTTTGACGGCGCGTGAAATCGCGCGCGTTTGGATAAAAAGACGCTGTGGCGGCTTGACTGACGTGGGAGATTATCACGACCAGGTTAACAGCAAGACAGCAGTCGTTGGGGCAAGTGATTCTCCCAAGATACGGGCTCACTTAATCACCATTAAAACGCATTAAAAGTAAATGCACTTCGTGTGGCTGTCTTTGTTCAGAAATCGTTGTGAAATGAAAATGAAAATGTTTGAATTTGCCAGGTCTGCAACACCAAACTTATTGCCAAATGTATAGGAGGGGAGTCGCATAATCGTTATGCCGGCTGTCTATAACAAAATACCCAATCAGTCCTTAGCATCGGTTGATGTCCAATCCTGACCGACAGGAAGTCGCTATCAAAAAAGGGATTGGTGAAATCTCCAAATGGTTGTGACTGAGAAGCTTCGAATGGCTTCGAGATGCTGGGCTGCGTTATTTGAACGGTGGTTGCTTGGCAAGTAGATAAACGATTTTAGCGTCTTCTTGATAGGGGCAAAGCATAAACTCTACAACATCGAGGTTAACTGTCGCTGCATCACGCCCAGATTAGTGCATGTGTAAGAACTTAAGAAGAGCGCGGTGGTGAGAAGTGTTAACGCCTGTTCTAGGTAATGACCTCCGAGATATTCAAGTTCACTGGCGACGAATTCACAAACTGTCGACTTCACATCGATAGCGGTGACTTTGACAGAGCCCCCGTATCGATCGACACTCTGAGTTTATAAACATAAACCAATTAGGTGTTTGCAATACAAGCACAAATGAAATTATTGGCTTGTGCAAAACAGCCGAGTGACTTAGTGAGGGCTTGAATTCTACCGCAGTCTCTCGGTGATGATTAAGGGGCCATCAGCTGAAAAGCCACAAGTCCGAGGAGGAAAAAAAGTAAACATTTCGCTTATGGCGTCAGCTGCTGCTGCTGCTGCTGCCCAGTGTTTACTGGCGCGCTCTATGCAGCGACGAGAAAAAAGAGCTCAGCGCAGGGTTTTGTGAACGCACGCTTCCGCCAGCCAATCGGAACGCAGCGTTAACTAGGCTCAGTTGATTGGTCGGTGACAAACACGGACGCACGAAACACGCGATGATGGGTTGGGGTGGGGGGGAGGTCGGGAAGGGGTGTTAAGATGGGGGAGGGCTGGTGCAATTGACACCCACTGTCACAGGCGTAACCACAGGGGAGGAGAGGGCGACCAAGCGAGTACACGACGCTGACGCGAAATTAACAGCTGTTAAGAGAAGTAAACGGTCGAAGTAGGTGCAGAATATAGCCGCGATATATACTGGCTCGTTAGGACGCTTGTTACACGCTTCTTCTTTCTAAAATAGCCCTTTTCTTGCTGCCAGTTACAATCTGATTAGCGGATTTAGTGAGCCTCCGTGAGTTTAATTGCAAAAGGCGATTCCAACCTGCTTGCTGTGAATACCTGGAACACAATTTGGAATCCACGAAATGTCGAAATCAGACAAGGTTCATTTCATTCTCCTTTAGCACTCAATCCTTTCCTCTGATATTCTCTTTTGAAATAAACACCTCAGGATTGCATTTGAATCCTTTTTTTTGTCTCCCGATGTGGAGCTTGAATATCGGACCAGACCCGACCAATAAAGAAAAAGAAGACCGTAGATATAGTGAAGTTCAATCGATTTATTGGTCTAGTTGTGGCGTGGTGGTTAAGCCTGTCGAGAGCGTGACAAGGGCGTTTGTTTATCGATCAATCTCTGAACGAACATGGCGACGTGAATCGCACTCAGCACGATCGATTGAATCCATGCGCAGTCAGACTTGCTAATAATTTTCATTGGCTGATTGCAACAAACCCTTTAAAATGATCTACATTTCCCTGATTTGCAAAATTAGGGCTTGATTGTCTACATAATTCAAACATAGTGCAGGTACTGAGAAAGGCTTTGTAAATTAAATCCCTACAAAACCGATCTCCATTTAGATAATCGCGCGAAGCCAGAAGAATACGAATTTATTCTAATATGCCCAAGAAATGTATCTTCATTCGTCATTGCGTTATTGGCACTAAACACGCGATTGCCTATTGGTGAATAAATTCAAAAAATACTGGGTGATGAGTAAAAAAACCACAGCGTCAAATTCGAGAGTTTTCAATTTGTGGACTACGATCTGTGTTCAAGAAATTTTGAGTGCCTAGTACGCGGGCATTAGAACATCCTCTATAGGTGCCGCTTGTTTAAACCCAATGGAGCGCGAAAGAGGAAGATTCCCATTGGTTGGAATTAAACAAAGTGAAATTTGCCGCCGATGAGGTTTAATCTACCAAGGAGACATTTAAAAAAGTCCGCATTTTTTGTTAAGTAACTACATTTTGTACCAACTGTCAATGAAAAATTCTACCTACTGAAATGGTTGCCTATAGTAAAGTACCACAATTTAAGTTTCATCATGAGGTAAATGAATGAACCTGCGTATAAATATACACAGTGAAAAAGAGTGCTTATGAAAAAAAAATATTGTTTTATTGCAATTTAAGCCAGAAAAATGAATAAAGAGGCGTTTTCAACATTGGCGCCAAAATCAGTACCGACCGAATTTCGTGATTGGTTGTGTCGGTCCGCTGAAGGTCAAATCAAGGTCAGGTCGGATCACTAAGGTGTGAGTTGGCAATTGAGCTGTACTATCGATTTTTGTGCTCTGGCAATAGCAATGATAATGCGATAATTACTTGAATTTAATGTACACATGAATATTACAGGAGATTTCACTTATGTTTCCATTCGCATCTTTCAGTTCCGTAGATCCTTGTACTAGTGACCTCGTAGGCATTTTACTGAACTAAAAATGCAAAAATGTGGACTTGTTTTTCAATTGGCCCGTTTTCAGTGTTTCAGAATTTCACCCCAAAGACATTGAGTGGTGTAAATTCTCAAACTAGGACGTGTTTATACTTAGAAACGCCTCAATGGGTCATCTAAGGTCTCCTACTCAAATGACCTTCGTTTGTTTTAATCAAGCCCGGGAAAGTCAAAAATCGTTGGTACAGCGAAGAATAGGCAACAAAGAAGAACAATGTCGAAATTTTGCCTGATAAATTATCTGCCCCGCGGCGCTATGACGGTACCAGTGGGGTGCGCGCGAGCACGGAGCCCCTCTGCCGCATTTTTGGCCCGGGCGTGCGTGCGTGCGTGCGCACGTGTGTGCTGATAATGATGAATAAGTGGCAACTGTCTTCGTGTTTTCTTTTTCTTCTGCCTCCTCTTCTTCCTCCTCTTCTCCTTATGTCGCCTTCTTTTCCGTGCTGCCGTCTTTTGATGACCGGGCTTGCCATTCTCGTGGTGTTCCCCTCTGTGACCACAGGTGGTGATGCAAGACTACCTATGTGTGTGTGTGTGTCGACACTCCCAATTTATCCCTGCTCTCGTCTTTTTAAGTTGCGTGGTGTATAACACCGATAAGACTCCCTCATGTAGCACTGTGTGCTAAAATCGTCCTCAGGGAGTGTGTGCAGGTGGGTTAAAAGTGTCAAGGGTGCTTCCCATTGGCTGTTAACCATTTCGACTAGACGCTAGCATTCCACCGAATTGCCCTAAGCTTGTATGCGCAAAGGTAACACAATTAACAGTGTTTTACGTGGTTTAGTACCACGCCGAGGCCGGTGAGTTAAATCCGGCACGTTTACGGCGCTAAGAAACCAAAAAAGACAAGTAGAAGATCAGACACGACCGTTTACTGGGTAGCTCAACCGAGTCGTGTCGTGAGAGTGCACGCACTCTCAAAAGTGCATGATTCATGTAGTTACTGACCAATGGCGGGAGAGGTAAATGCGCCGATGATGGTCCCCGTGGCAGTGTGTCGCAGGCCAAATTGACCGGATTAACGGACGTGAATCAATACGATTCACTACAAATCGGACAGCCTTGATGACGAGGATTCGTCCGTTGACGCATTTAAACAAAACTTTACTCATGCCTACCTTTTATAATTTGAATCGTATAGTTATTTTAAAGGCTTTTTTGAAGTATGATAGGTAATATGCGCATCGTAGTTGCTTTCCATCACGGATAATTAAAATGTGTGGCTCAGTTGAAAAATTTCGTTTAATTATTGATTTAAGATATCGAATGGGAGTGTATACAGGCCCTGGCAACCCGACAACATAGACGAGACAGGCGACACTGGACACGACCGTTTATTGGCGTAAAGCCAGCCAAGTGTGTGCCCTTGAGTGCGGATGACAGCGACTCA